CCTGCATTCCTCAGCACAGTGCACCATGCCCACCGCAAGTTAAAACACGCTGATGAGAGTCATATCTTTCTCTCCTGGCCAAAAAAAACACTCCCACAAGCCACTGGGGCAGTGCCATCGCTTTAAGGCCGGGACACAGCGATCGGGCTGTTCAGGCCTGCGGGCTACAAAACACTTCTCTGTTCCAGCCCAGGCAGAGATTCATGACACATGAAGACATGCACCTGTTAGATAGCTGAGAGAGGGAATGAATGAGAGGCTGATGGGAAGGAGAATGTCAAACACTAAGTGCATGCATGTCAAGGTTGTCGTCTAACACTGATAAAAGTCGGTTAATTTACTTCATAAAATGATTATCGTTCGTATGACCAAAAACTTGTTTTGTTTATTGCTGACTAGAAAGATTTTAAAGAAACAACGTCCAACCCTAATCGAGCCATAATTAAGTAATGAATATATATCCGTGTTTTTATTGTTAAGAAACTAATCGTTAATTTAAATAAGGCGGAACGAAATTATTAATATTAGATGAAAAACTTCAATTTAAAATCAAAAAACCCAGAAGTACTAAAATGACTAAAAACTAAAAAAAATGTAAAAAAGTATTAAAATAATAAATAAAAATGACAAAAGCATGTAGTAAATTTACAGAAAAATATATGTGTAACAAAAATGAGACGCTGCCTTATAATAAAACAAGAATAAAACAAAGAATAAACAAAATAAAACAAGAATAAATAAACAATGTTCATATTTAATTTGATATTTTTCATAAATGATTAATTTATTATATTAATATCAAATATCAAGTGCATTTTAAAAGTATAATATACATTAAAATATGTTATTCAATTATAATATATACATTTAACATAAAATACATATATTTAAATACCAATTATTGAATAACATTTGTTTATGAAGTGTTCAGATGCAAAAGCCTCTAAGTGCCATTGAAAAATTTCTTCTAGAATGATCAGTAATTTCACAAATGGAATAAAGATTACCTATTAATTGTCATGTCAAGTGAAATTACTGAACTTAAAAATACAAGCTTGATAAAAATAATCACCCTAGAAGAAAATTTTAAATGGCACTTAGAGGCTTTTGCATCTGAACTCTTCATATACATATTTTGAGGGAATCAACACAGTTGTTTCTGCATATTTAACAGATATAGATTTTCTTTTTCCTATGGTCATTCACTGTAGAACAAATGTGCCTATGCTTTCTATACTTCAGCTGTAGTCCAAACGCCAGATAACTAGCACACCGTCAGGAGATAACACCTGTCCAGACAATCCAAACCACCTGCTCTTTCAAACTCTCCAGAAACACTCCCTTGCACAACACATGACGTGAGAAAGATGAAAAAGACAGGAGAGACAGAGACGGAGCGCTTGCGAGTGCGAACACACCCGAGGTCGTCGCCTTACACTTGAATGTAAGAAGCTGTGTGCATTCCTTAGGCTCCAGAGATGTTCCTCACAGCCCCGGGGCTGAGACTCTGAGCATCTACTGAGAAATAACTCCCAGCCACGTGAAATCATTGTGGTTTGCTTATCTTTACAAAAACATTCCTGTCCTTAACATCTAAGCGACATCTGAAACCAGACTGTTTTTTTTACACAGTACCTGCTGATGGATGAAGATGTTCATTCAGATTCTAATTACTTTGGTATAAGATTTGTTACACTTGACTCTTAGAAAAAAAGGTTCATTGGGGTTCTGTATATGACGCATAGGGTTCTTTACTCAACTCCAAAGAACCTTTTATGCTAAAAAAGGTTCTATAATGACAAGAACCAACCCATTTGGCTATTATTCATTCATATATTACACTCTAAAAAAAAAAAGGGTTCTTCAGCGGTTCTTCAGGGGTCTTTGCGGTGGTCATGGTGCTATATAGCACCACTGCCATTTAAAGAACCAGTTAAGCCCAGTTTGGTTCTTTAGCAGTTCTTCAGTGGTTCTCTGGGGTGGATGGCACCTCTTACGGTTCTACATAGCACCATATGACAAGTGCTATAGTATGGCAATTAAAGTGGTTCCCCTATGATTACAAGCCAATGAACCACTTTTAGTGCTATTTAGCACCATTTTTTTAGAGTGTACATTATTCTGCAACATTTTGTAGTTGTAATTAAATTATTGTGCATTAAACTGTAATATCACATTTGAATCATGCTGATTTTTGGAGGAGAAAAACTGAAAGGGCACTCTTCGTGTGATACTGATTAACTACGTAAAATTATATAAATATATACATTTTCTAACCCCATGTCTTCTATTTTGTGATCATTCACATGCATTCATAAATACATTTTAAGGTCTTTATGTTTGTCAATTATATGAAATATTTAATCCAGAAAGGACAAAACAAGTGATAATGAATGAACGCAAACGTTCTATATAGAACTTTTTTCCTGGTTACAAAGAACCCCTAAAAAGGTTATTCTGAATAGAACCTTTTAGGGGTTCCAAATACGTAGCGCTGATTGAACCTTGAACCTTTTCTTCTAAGAATGTATGTTTAACTTATAGCCACCTATAAAACTTTACATGAATGCAAATTTATATTTTTTAATCAATATGGTCAGGCCACAATGAATAATTTTATATGTCTATAGCTTTATGTTATGTTGTGGTGACCAGATGATTTGCGCACTAGATCTGCAGAATAGTGTGCTAAATTGTGTGATCTGCATAGGTGTGTGAGATATTGTGTCTTGTTGCCACCACCTGGTGTAGTGATGTGGTGCACCTGTAAGGGAATATACCTGCCGAATGCAAGAAACTGGAAATGCCAATATAATATATTATTATTATTATACTGTAAAAATGGTCTCTAGATATGGCTCAGATCCCTCCTTATGAACTTTTTCACCTGCTTTTTTTCTCTCTGTGTTTCTTTTAATGGCTGTGTCTAAAACATTGGGGTTATATCATTAACCCTAAATATAAGCAATGATAATAATGATGCTCCCTTAGCAAAAAGCACAAATATGAAGCCTATCATCGAGGGCTCAGTGGGACAGGAATGACAAATGGAGCCACCTGGAGCGGACACATATAAAGAGAGAAATCCACGATCAATAGCTCTCCAGACAACAGTGTGAGCTTTAGTGGAAGACTTCAAATCACATTCCATCAGGGCTTCTGGGAGGAAGCAGGAACGACACGGTCGACACACACTTCCTCTACCGTTTCACACACACGTTAACCTCCGGCGCCCTGGATACACGGGCAGGACTCTGGCTGCCACCACGCCACACACGCACGCACAGAGGTCTCTTTAAACAAACCTCGTCATTTCACATTAAAAAGATGATGAAACTAAACTAGATCATCAGAATTGTCCAAGTGTTTGTTTGTTCCGCGTGTTTCTGATCTGGAGTCTGATGACGGTCACTGTGACCTTTAGAGTAACAGTATTGTCAAAGTATTTCCTATTGCTTATTTATCTTTGGGTTCTGCCGTCAGACTCAGAATCAGATCGCAGCGATTTTGGCAATGGGCGTTTATTGAGTGTGTAACCCTTTATTGACCGTTTTGTTGTTTAACTAAACAGAAACATGATGAACTAAACCATAATGCCTGCAGCCAGTCACAACAAACCCCTGCGTTAATAATTAATTCATATCTTATCATAAGTAATATCTTAGTTAGCTTAAGGGGCCTTGGCGATTTTGCCTGCAGAGCCAATGTTTCAGTACTGTAATGTGTATTTATATATATATATATATAACTGTTTTCATCACTGATAATAATCAGAAATGTTTCTTGAGCGGAAAAATCATCATATTAGAGTGATTTCTGAAGGATCATATCATGTGACTGAAGACTGGAATAATGATTTTCTATTTAAATATTCTATTTATATTTAAATAGAAAAGGGTTATTTAGAATTACATTAAAGGAGTAGTTCACTTTTAAAAAACTTTTGCTGATAATTTACTCACCCCCATGTCATCTGAGATGTCCAAGGCTTTCTTTTGAAAAGAAAAGAAATTAAGGTTTTTGATGAAAACATTCCAGGATTTTCTCCATATAATGGACTTCATTGGGAACCAAACGGTTCAAGGTCCAAATGAGAGTTTCAGTGCAGCTTTAAACGACACCAGACGATGAATCAGGGGCTTATCTGGACCCCTCGATTCATGACTCGAAAAAAGATTCGTTCATTTTGATGAACAGGAGAGTCACGAACGCTCATCACAGAACAGAGTGCTTATAAAACGTAAACTTTTTTATTTATTTTTTAAATTGATTGATCGTTTCGCTTGATAAGACCCTTAATCATCGTCTGGAATCGTTTAAAGCCCTTTGTACAGTTTGCACTGAAACTCTCATTTGGACCTTGAACCGTTTGGTTCCCATTGAAGCCCATTATATTGAGAAAATCCTGGAATGTTTTCATCAAAAACCTTAAATTCTTTTCGACTGAAGAAAGAAAGACGTGGGCATCTTGGATGACATGGGGGTGAGGAAATTATCAGCTAAAGTTTTTTTTTAAAGTGAACTACTCCTTTAATATTTCACAATATTACTGGTGGTTTTATGTTGAGCAGAAGAGACTGTCAAAAACAACAACAACAACAAAAAAATTTGATAGCCAGCCCTAGTCTGGTCTCTGGTCTATCTCAACAGCTAGACCCTATTTTTAAAACATTATATTTCATTACCCTATTTTGGACCAAACTCTTATTTACAACCAATTACGAGACGCTAGATTCCCTCACGAGAGGAAGGCAGTCTCCAAGAAGAATGATGGGGTTTTCTGAATGGTGTGTCTGTGCACTTCCTGTTTGGCACGATATCAGAAAGTGTTAAGTTACTGAGTCTGCAGTCGGCCCAGCCAATACTGGAACAATCCAGCTGTGACAGAGAGAGACTCACAGCGTAGCATATGCAGACGACTTAGAAAGCATTCGGACAGTTCAGTCACACTTAAAAACGCCATTAAAGGGATAGTAAAAACTCTGTCATCATTTACTCACCCTCAAGTTGATCCAAACCTGTACGAGTTTCTTTCATCTGTTGAACACAAAAGAAGATATTTTAAAGAATGTAAGCAATCAAACAGTTGACCATTGATTTCCATAGGGATGTTTTTCCGTCAGTCAAACCAAAATTTATTCAGACACCTGCAACATTTCTCACATTATCACAGTTTATATTCGCTATAGTTAAAAAAAAAAAGGTAACAAAATATAACAAGATAGTAGTTTTGGCCATCCTTCTGTTAGACTGTCTCAGAAATATATAAGGTTGAAAAGTTTGTCAGCTGTTAAATTCAAGTGCACAATACCAATTTAGCTCAACCAATTACCAAGCAATGCTTAATTTTGTTCAGTCTGTGGTCTAAAAAGGTCACATTACCAAAATAAAATTTTTGGTTCCAAATTCTTCATTGTATGGTATAATATGTCACCGTTAACTTTATTTTGCTATATCCTCACTTACATAAATGATCTATAGTGTCACTAGTAAAAAAGAAAATGATATTTGGTGTCTGAATAATTTTTGGTTTGACTGTGTATTTACACACACACACAGAAGGAGCATAACTAAATGAGATTGCATTTGTGTACATGCACATTTATGGCTATGTGTGTAAGTCTGTGATTTCTTTAACTAGGCACTAATGTCCCCGCCGCAGTCAGCGAGATGTATTCTCGGCTCCATTCGCAGCAATCGGTCGGTCTGACTTGCTCTAATTGTTTCCAGATTTGTGTGGGAGGTCAAGCCCCACAGTGCGCGGCCCTGCCAAGTTTATAAACACAGCAACGTTTCCAGATGGCCAGCGGCTCCAGCCTGGCTAGCAGGTTGATTGGGTGCAGAATAATAGCAGGTGGAGAGCAGACAATGAATTCCTTGACACTTTAGACCTCTCGCTCGCTCACACACTCAACGGCAGTTTTTAGAAATAACCATTAGAAGCCTCCAGCGCTTCTCACCATGGCATTTGCTGCATGGAGATTTCAGGATTGCCTTTAAGCTTCCTTTTGTGACTTTTAAAGTTACTTCATAAACTGTGAATGCATAAATACATTTATATGTATTATTTAATCAAATGCTATAGATGGTGTACACTTTTAAAAATGAGCATTCTCCAAATTCAGCAAAGAATTATATTAGTTCTCAAGAAAGTTCTCCATGCTTCTCAATGGATTAGCGTATTGGATTTCAGCTCTTTAAAAGGTGGATTATAGGATAAAAAGTTGTTTATGCAATCTCCTATGTAAAAACTTTTTGTTTTATAACTGTGAACTTTATTTTTAAGAAAGTCAAATCAAAGCTTCATTACCAGATTTTAAAAAGTCTCTAAGCCTGCAGGAAATTAAAGTAGCCAATTTCTCCACCACTTTTATTCACCATATGCGCTGTTTGACTATAAATGCTTTAAAAACATCTACACGCAACTTTAGGTCAAGTTGAGTCATTTTTATTTGTATAGCAATTTCAACAATCCATGTTGATTCAGAAATTGTAATTGTACCTTAATGTCTTTAAATCACTGAACAATTCAAAGGAGGATTTAAAAAGAGACTTGTTGAATAAAGTGTCACGTTTAATTTATGCGGTCATTACTGGGCGTTTACTCAGAAGCACCTGGCAGCTTTAGTGACCGATGGGCAAAACCCCTTATTATCTCAGTCTTTACATAGGTTTCTATAGGAAATTCTATATAGGGATAGATGAACACTGGTCACTGAAGCTCTTTATTTAAACCCTCTTTACATGAAGAATAAACTTAACAAATTGCACCGTATGTTCATATGAAAGACGTAAATAATTCTGCATAAAATAGGATGGGGATTGAGGGGGCATTTGCATATTGATGTATTAAAGAAATAATAATAATTCACTACATTTACAGTATATCGCTTTTCTCGGCACTCAAAGCGCTTTACATAGAAGAGGGAACTAACTAATCGGACAACGCAGTCTCACCCCAAAAAGTCATATAACTGACGTTTTGGGACGTCTTTTGACCATACGTCAATATCCGCCTTTTTAGGGCCCCCTTAAACGTCGGTAGATGAGGTTATGGGATCCTAACTCTACCCCAGACCTAAACCTAACCCTAAACCTAACCCGTCACCTAACTGACGTTAAAGGTAAAGCGTCAGTTGTATGACGGCCCGGGATCGCCATCTACCGACGTTTAAGGGGGCCCTAAAAAGGCGGATATTGACGTATGGTCAAAATACGTCCCAAGACGTCAGTTATATGACTTTTTGGGATGAGAATGTGTTGAATCGGAAGGACGGACGGACGGACGGACAGACAGACAAATAGATACTCTAAAACTGCTGGGTCAAATATGGCCAAACTTAAACATTGGGTTAAAAAATGTTTTTTAAAAATGTAACCCAATGGCTAGGTTTGTCAATATTTGACCCAAACTTGGGTTAAAACAACCCAGCATTTTTTAGAGTGTGGATGGATGGATGGATGGATAGATGGATAGATGGATAGATAAATAGATAGATAGATAGATAGATAGATAGATAGATAGATAGATAGATAGATAGATAGATAGATAGATAGATAGATGTATAGATGGATAGATGGATAGATGGATAGATAGATAGATAGATAGATAGACGGATAGATGGATAGATAGATAGATCAAAGGCATTCTACACGCCTGTTTAGATTTGAATGTTTGACAGTTGGAGTTTAAATATTCAAATTTGAACATTCCGTCAATGTAAGTCAATGGGAGATTTGATCATTTTAAACAGTTTGTCTGTTTCCACCATAATTGAAATGGAACTCACTAAAGTTCTTTGTAGAATGTCTACAAGTTCGCATTTACCTATTCATGTTTAGCCTGTCTGAAAGTGTGATATAACATCTTTCTTATGTAGTGATTCATTGCTCAGCTCATACTTTCCATACGGTATCGCATGACAATCACATCATAACATTGTGCTGACACTTGAATCTGTCACCAGTTCATCCAGACTATTCCATCATGACCGAGGCTTTCTGCTTTTATGTCATGCACGTCTGGACGCCTGACGCTGGCTGAATGCGCTTTGGACTTTAAAAGGTGAGATTTTGATCAAGGGAAGCAGACTGTAGACGAGCAGTATCCTTCCACACGGCCTCGTTTCCACAAACTCCTCAGAAGAGCAGTCAGGAACGAGGGAATGGAAATGGAAAGAGAGGTTTGGGGAGCTCCTTTCATCGACTGTGGTGTGCTACACTTGTTTTAGCCAAAGTGCCCCCCCCTCCCCCCTCCACTTCCACCTTAAATCTCCTTCTCTCACTCACCCTCTCGCTCTAGTAGACTCCAGATGTGCCGTGGCTCCAGTGTGGCTGACATATACAGTAAATCGGCATCTGAGGGCTCGTCAATCTGCGGGACACTGAGCGAGCGTTACAGGCCCGCCCCCCTCCTCACCACTGATGCCGCTGGGGAAACTTTGGATGATGGAGATCCCTAGAGAGAGGGTTTGTGGAGGCGGAATCAAAAACCAGGAGCCAAGGAGCATTTCAGAAGGAGTCTGAGGGAGAACTGTGTATCACAAAACAGCAGAAATCACTCAAGCAACACAAAAGTGTCATGGTGTGACTATTACTATTTGTATTTGAACATTGATTCATATTTAGTGCATGGATTCCTAAAGTGTGCTATGGTGGGCTATTGACAATTACAGTATTTATGTCCTATGTTGATAACATGTGCAAAAACATATTATAGGGCTACCAAAACTTATTGAAATGTACCATACTACTACCATGGACATATGGGCCAGCATTTTGCATGCCTAAAAACATATTTTGCTTGCAAAAAAGTACTGGAAAGTACCTTGGTACTATGTGAATTTTATATATATTTGGATATTATCCAAATTACCAGAGGACCAAGGTATTTTCCAGTACTTCTTTGCAAGTGTAATGTTTTCAAGCATGCTAATGTCATTGTAGCTTATTGTGCCTAAGTAGCATGGTATTACCATTTAATACCATGATACCACCACAGTATATTTGTATGGGACTATGAAGCATTAATTATTTCACATGCAATACTGTAATCTGCACATTGTATGAATGTTTGCACTAAAAAAGTACCATGATTCACAAACAACACCATATTTAAATGAACATGGTAATCAATACCACACCACTGCATTGTGACAGCTTTATATTCCTGATCTATATCATATTCCTGATCTATATCATACAAAAATATTTGTACGCCCTAAAATTGTCTAAGATCTTAGGACTTTCATCAACACAAACTTATAGATGTAAATCGGTACTTTAGAGCCAGCTCACAAACTTCTGTTGACTCCTCCGCTCCAGACGAAACAAGACGAACCTCAGGGGCAGATCAGGGTGAAGGAGCGAGAGACAGAGGAAAAAAACAAAAACAAATGTTCTCTTTCAAACAAATGAGAGCGCTCGGATGTTTCAACATCTATAAACACACTAGAGACTTGGAATTGACCAAGAATTAGGCAATGCGTCAATGGTTGGGGAGAGCTGGAGAGATTGAGAAAGAATTGTGCTGATGTTAGATAAACTTTTCGAGGAGAAGGTTAAGCTAAACCTTACTCACTCGGCCGATGACGTGGACACTCCGAACATGTCCAATTTAAAGGAACGTCAGATATATTAATTGGGAGTTAAGTCAGAGTTGCAGAATTAGGATTCGGAGTGTGTGCAATGGTGTGAGAGAGTTTGTGTTCGTCTGGCACTGCGATAAGAGCACTTACTCAGATTGACTCAAAGCCTGGGAAAATGAGTGGGCTGGAATGTATGAAGAAACAGCATCTGTGCGCATACACACACACAGTTGGCCATACATACAGTCTATTTAGTCTACTATATACATGCAAAGTCTCTCTCTCTGAATATTCATGCATGGAAATTGATGTTTTTTATACAAGGAATGCGCTATAAATGAATCTAGCAATGGTGTGTGTGGACTGCCGCAGCTCAGAGCGTGGTTGGGGAACTGTGTCGCCAACTTCCTGTGGGATCCCTGTTCTCCATCGTACATATTTGGGGCTGTGT